CTTAGTGGCATTTCGAGAAAAATTAGCTTCGTCCGTGGATAGAATCATTGATTCAAATTGCGGATTTTGTGTAATTTTTTGAGGATACCACTGACAAAAGGTCACACGCCTTGGAAAATCAATGAGAAGTAATGCCTGTACTCTTAAAATATGGCAAGGATATAACAAAAAATCCACTAAAATTCTCCAAACAATTTGATGGCAAATATTTAAGTGTATAGCGATCTTCCTCGTACTCGTTTCAAGATATTCTTCAAATTCGTGCAGCACTGCTTCCTCAATTTCAGACGCTCTCACACTTCAGATGTTCCTTTTCGGACAGAACCAGTTTCAATAAGACGACGATGAATATTAGAAAAGGTCATATACGTAATGCATTTCCGCCATTTCTGCATTTGAATAATTTACCATTATTAACAAGATTGTAAAAACTAAATAATGAAAAAGATGTCACAGCGAATAGAAAATCTAGTGACATATTCCAGAGCAACTAGATATTTATTGCTAAATTGTATTCTTCAATTATTACATTAATTTCCTCGGACAATAGAACGGTTTTTATTTTTTTTACTCAAAAATGGAGCATCAAATGAAAGCAATCCAAGAAAGGTCATTTGCTTTAAAGTGAACGGGAAATTCAAAAATAATTTTTATTTGGCAAAAAAACATTGGCGTACCATTTTTTTCTAAAAAAATATCGAAGAAACTATTTTTGCATTTCAACATATGCAACATTATTAACTTTCACTACGTAATAAATATCAGCGAAATATCTGAAGCGGTTCTGAAAATATTCATTAATTATAATTTTTTTCCTAAAACTTCAACACCCCGAGTTTTTGTAAGGAAACATTTTTGGACCATAGTTTATAAAGCAAACTGACATTAATTTTTCATGTAGCTTCACACCCTTAAACATTCGCATATCATTAAGGAACACCCTGTATATCATTGTTTTGTGACGTCTATTAGATAAACTGATATCAATCAAACAACTATTCTTAGCACCAGCTAGGCAACATTTTGCTTCGCAGGTGCCCATGAAGCTCCTCGACAAGCTTCAATTGAAGTTTTCTAGATTCTGCACACTTGACTGCCATTAGCAAGAATCGTGGATATTAAAAAGCTCATGAAACAAATCAACTGAATATCGTAAGAATCCTCAAATTTTTGAACGCATTATATAACGTTTTCAGAATTAAGAACTTATTCACACGTGTAAAAATGATGTTCATAAGAAAAAATGAAGTTGTTCATTGAGAACAAGACACGCAGCGTCATATTGGGATTATAATCATGTCAGTATTGTAAAGGAGAAAACGTGATAGAGCTTATATGTGATTAATTTTGAAATGAGCCAGGAATTCAGTTCTGAATCCAACCCTAAATTTCGAAACTTTCTAAATTAAACGTCATTTTCGCAATCCCCCATGCTTGTCTGGCCAATAAAACCACATCTATTGACAGCTCTTCTTTACTTTAGTAAACCTTCCAATCATAAATACGATCTTCTTCATAAATGCCCAACTTAACCGATTTCCTACCTCTTATGGTTTTCGAGAGCACAATGGTGTGTCCAGTTTCAAACATTTCAGCTTCCCTGGGATCCGCTATATAAACAGAAGGCACTCCACTAATAAGGACTTTAAGTAGAAATCAAGCAACAATAGGTGCAGTAAACTGAATAGGCCAATGAAGGTGAGACTGTGAGATTACATACAAGCATGACAGCAGACTCAGATAAAAACGGCCGACGGATGGAGATACTGGTTGATATACGAGCTCTGTCTCAGTGAAGTTGGCCCAACTATCAAAACTACGTTTTTTATGAAATTTCTCACATTAGCGGAAATGTATTAAAAACTAAAATGTATTCCTGATAGCATACGATATTTTTATTTAATATTAGCCTAAAATACTACATTTTTTGTAGCCAAGAAAAAATATCTTACAAATTCAAAAAAACTGCCGACTAATAAAAATCAACGCAACCAAATAGCAGCAAATCACTACTCCGTTGTATTGCCTTTTTGTCTGATTACTGCTTCGACACATCTTGACATAGTGTCAACTAATGTATGGTAGTCATCTGGTGTAAAACTGTTCCAAATTTCTTGGAGACAGATTCGCAATTCAATATCTTGTTCATGATATGCCACAAAGTTTCAATCGGAGCTAGATCTGGACTACTCCACGTCCATTTTGAAACAGAAATATTGTTTTCTAACATCCAATATTTTACTTTTTTAGCCGAATGGCAAGCGGCACCATCTTGTTGGAAGGTACATTCAATATTGTTTAAGCGCATCTGTTCAATGTGGGGTATTAAGTTATTTTGAAGAACAGTAATGAGACATGGATCCCCAAATGATACCAGAAGCCGGAAACTTGCCTTTGTTTAAGACATTCATTCTGAAACACTTCTTCTTTAGTTCTGATGACACGAATCCTACCATCACCAACGCATACTTCAAATCTGGCTTCATCACTTCCACTAATGGAGTTCGGAGAGCATAATTTGTGTTTTTTGGCCCACGCTAGCGTTAGTAAGCCTCTCTGTTGCCTACAAATACTGAATTTATAAGAAAATAATTTGAGCCTACCTTGTAAGTTTTAAATCCCAGTTCTTGGGCAACTCTGTGACAAGTTTCTCTTCAAAACTTTTTTGAGGTTGCCTGATTCTATAATATTTTCAATTCGTTATAATTAGCACGCTGATTTTTCTCGATAGTCCGTTTTAAAGGCTTTTAAGTTGGTATTGGAATGACGCGGGCGACTTCCAGTTCTTTTGTCTCTTGTGCATTTTGGGTTTTTAAATGCAAGTGACTGATAATTTTTCTGATTGTTTCAGAAACAATTTTACCACGAGCCATTTTTAATTATTAACAACAAAACCAATGAATTGAAAGTTAATTTAAAAGTAAAAAAATCAGCTTCTTAGCAACGTAAAATGTTATCATTTGTTTTATAAAGCCTACATTTATTTGATCGAAGCGAATAAACAGACCATTCAACTTGAGTTGTCTCTTTCATGTAATTTGCTATACACAAATCATTTTGCAAAGAAGACAATTTCGAAATAAAAACGCTAAGAAAATATTGTTATCCTTCCATAAACATTTAAAGAAACCAAAAATATTATATTTGAAATAAAATCTTAATTAGTCCTCAGATAAATTCACATATGAGTATATCATGTTTTGGGGTGCTGCGCCAACTTCATTGAGACAGAGCTCGTACCGTCCCATCGACAGCACATTGGAAATGAGTGAGGTGAATCCTCTTAATAAATGTACAAATATGTTTCTTAATCATCACGAAATCATTATAAGGCAACCTACCCCACTGACCTGAGTTCATGGATCTACTTATACTTTGGCTTGACTTGCCACTATGATTTGCATCTAGAAAACAAATGCCCCTTGGTAACGCATTCAGGCTTCGCAAAAATGGTGAATGAACATACCACTGCTTAAAGGCAAAAGTTACAATGAAAAGTTCGGCGTCTCTCAACATTTTTCGACCAAGGGCCCCTAGGAAATTCAGCACAATTATCAAGAAACACTTCAATTAAAGTAAAAAGTACATGGATGAGGAGGTAGCACTTCCAATATACGTACTCTATCGTAGTGGTTACGAGACTCATTCATTTTTATTGTTAAACGGTCCATATATGACTATGCGGATCCCCGTACATACACTCACTGATCCCTAGGGATCAGTGGATTACAGGTTAGGAAGCACTGGTTTAGAGCTAGAGTGTTTTTCAAAAAGACCCTCACTGCTTATTTTTTGAACGGACCATTTTGTAGGTTTTTTTTGATGGCAAAACGTAGGCTTTCTACAAGAATAAAATAGAATAGAATAATGCTTTATTTGTGTGAGCCTGTAAATAGGATACAAAACGTCAAAATAGAAAGAAAATATGTCGATAATTAATATATGAGATGAAAGAATTGGGATACAGAAACACATATCAAAATAACGTGTTACTGGCACAAAAATTCATTTGCATTATAAAATGCCTTATTTAGTAAGAGGTCCCGAAGTTTAGTTTTGAAAAAAGATAAACTGATAAACTGCTTAATATCTAAAGGCAGTTTATTATACATGAATTCCTCGGACTCTTTTTATAAGATGCCAACTTAGCACTAGCTGTTGTACACTTGTTGTGAACTCGTCTTGTAGCGAACGTGTTGCCTAAACGTCAAGATGTGTTTCTGTGCTAATAATCTGTCTTGATGATAATTCCATTGGTTTCTTGTCCCAAATACACTTACTAATACACAGCTATAAATTAGTTGCGCAACAGTTGAGAAAATATGCTATACACGGAAGTAATCGTGAAAGGTAAAAAAGTTACTCCTCTCTGCGGAAACGACACAGCTGATAGACATCCTTCATTGGCAGCATATTCAGTGATAATTTTCTCACATAACAAATATCACTGGCTTTAATCACATGTAGACCAATACATATAATCATTCAGATGCGATCTTGCAACTCAACCAACTTTTTTCCACATCTGCTCAAAGATATCACTACAGACTACTCGACTTCCTGCAACCAACAATGCACGTCGTGTCTGATGGTGCCAAAACGAGCGTACCAATGTGGTCCCAACATTTTCTGAAACGCAAGATACAACTCTGAGGGTATTGTAGAAATTTTGAGCCCCCAAACCTTTTTTAAGGGCGAAAGGAAGCAATGTTATCCCTGGGGTGACCATACTGTAAAGATTCTGACTTACAAAAAAGGAGGCTTTCTCGTATTATTTTAAACAATACTAATTTATTCCTAAGGATCCATTGAGGAAAATATACACAACCTACAACATGTTTTTATTGCTTGATAGATATTTCTAAATTACCGTTATAATGTCACAGTAACTGGGAGGGAAGTTCGACCAATTCCCAACGTATCCGACTTATGGCAGGGTATCGACACTGTATTCTGGACTGTAAGCATAAGAACTTTACATAATGGAAACATTTCTTCCATTGCAGCCAACATGATTGACCATGTAATCTCAACGTTGCGGAGGAAACTCCAGTCCATGGACCTGTGGTCAATCATCAACCGCTCGCTCTTCTTGATGAACATGATGGGCGTCCATCCTGCCAAGGTAGGCAGCAGAGTGCAGAGTTTCGTGTTCTTTTTCCTCATCATCAACTTCTGCATATGCAGTTACTGGATGGCGATGTTCTTCTTTGTCAAGGAGGATAAAGACTTCATCATGTTCGTTATGTCGCTGGAGAATGTTTTGTGTACTGTGCATGTGAGTCATACCCTGATTTTATGAGTAAACGCCTCGTGATGACCGTTCTCAAAAAAGGCAGGAGTGCGACAGTGAATCTGTTCCAAACCTTACAGAGAAGCGGACTAGTAAATACTTCCTCAATGGTGAAAGAAATGTTTTCGGATAACTTATTGTTTTTAAAATTGTTGCCACCCTTTAATATTTACTTGTTATATTCCAGGCGACATTGTACCTGTCCTGCCTTTACATCCAACGGCCAAGCATCAATCAGCTGCTGACTGAGATGCGAGACAAATTCTGGGACATATCGAACTATTCTGACAACGATTTAGTTAAAGCCCATGAGGAGAGCGTGTATAGAGTTAATGTTAAGTACGTTTCTTTCTGTCTGATTCTCTTCTATACAGCTGTCTCGTTTTACTATGGAAGGATAGTGACGGACCGAAAACCTATAGGTAAGGCTTTGATGAAGTTCTCGTAGATCCTTGTTTCTTTTTTGAAACCTTTGCGATCAGTACCTTCGTATTACGAAAACGTTCATTTTATATTATGGAAATACTGAATCAGTCTTAGTAAATATAAAATGATTTAAATGTCTTATTATTTGTGCAGTACCATCAGTATCACGCAGGCAGTCATCATTGGTAGTATAAATGGCAACACTGGCTTGATGATGCTGGTCCAATGAACATAGTTTACCGGTAACTTGACTACCCTAGCCTAGTGGTACAGCTCGCGGAAGCAGCGGAGAGCGCCAGCTACATTAGTAAGAAGCTTTGTGTTATGGTTGCCTTTGATGTGAAGAATGCATTCAACATGGAACAATGTCAGAAGTCATTGCACCCCTTGCTATCTGCTGAACATGATAAAGAACTTCTGGTAGGACAAAAGACGGCGAAGGTAATCATGGGAGTGCCCCAGGGCTTCATCCTAGGGCCGTTGACTTGGTCCGTGTTTCACGGTGGGGCTCTCCGATTGCAGATGTTGTCGGAAATGCGCCTGATAGAGAATGCTGACGACCTTGTGATGATAGTGACTAGAAGTTACACTAGAAGAGTTTTTGACATATCGAATCACGAGGATTATCATATGGATGGAAAAAAGGCTTAAAATCAGTGGTTATGCTTTCTGGTAGACAGAAACTAGCTGTTAAAGTCGAAAATACCGAGAATCGATGCCAAAATGCCATCAAGTACCTGGGTTTGTGGCTTGACAAATATATGAAAGTGATTGAACATATAATGGACACCATTGACAAGGTAAATAAAGTCGTCTCATCTTTGATACATACGTCTAATGCCATATGATGGAGGCCAAGTAGTGAGTGCTGCTCTGAAACCAGCGAAAAAGTAGTGCCGCACGTGGTATGCACTTACAGGACGGTATTGACCAATGCTGGTGGTGGCTGATATCCCGCCAATTGATTTGCTAGCTGAAAGCTAGAAAAAAGGCGCAAAAGCTAGAGGTGACGAAAGAAAACCGATTTTTGCTAGATAGCAGGAGAGACGGGATTCAGGGATTGAATACCAGAGACGGTTAGAATTGACGCTCGGTGCGAGACTCACTGCTGACAATTTTGTCAGGCATGAAAGCGAGGGCAAATGGGTTGACATTCAAGTAATAGTGAGGCAGATGACGTTGACGATGAGAATAATATAACATATACAGGGTGTTTCAGTTTATTGTTGCATAACCTTAAGATTCGATAGAACTTTTAAAATTAATCCATACAGTCTGTATAAACATGGGTCGAAAAATGCGTGGCTTCCGAAATACAGGGTGTTTGAATTTACTTTCTAAAATAGTTTTTTTTAAATATTTCGAACAATATTTGATGTATAACAGTGAAAATTGGTATACAAAGGTTTTCTTTACGACAAAAGGAACCATGGACATAGTTTTACTGTAGCCGCTAGAGGGCGCTCTCTACTGTACCTGTAGTGTATTAAAATGACCGAAAAGTCAGTAGGCTGTGCCTGCAAATATTTTTGTAATTGAAAGCAGAAGAAGGTTGATCATCAATTAGTTAACAGTTAGTTTTGTTGTCTGCTGAAACCTGAGACGTTTTTTTTGCAATTGTGAATGCACGAAATTTAGTTTCTTGTACCTGTTTTTTTTTGTAAGTTTTATAAAAATGCCATATTTATTCTCCAATCAAGAGATATGCGGATATTCATTTTGTGTATGACTTTGTAAATGGAAACGCGGCAGAAGCAGCCAGAGAATACGCACGAAGATTTCCAAACAGACGACATCCAACTCGCTCAGTATCGCCAAATAATTGAAAATGGTTTTGGAAATCTCCAATGGGATCAAAACATAAATGTTCGTCAGCGCAGATTTACCCGTATGATTCTGCGTGAGTTTGATAGAGATCCGACCACAAGTGTTAGGAGAGTTTCTGGTGCCTTGGGAATTTCAGCAAGCCATGTTCACCGTGTTCTTAGAAATGACCATAGACGTCCTTACCATTTGCAACCTGTGCAAGGACTACAGCCATGGGACGGAGAACGAAGAATCACATTTTGTCAGTGGATTCTTGATAGAACTAATAATAATAGGGAGTTTTTAAGTAACGTTTTATGGACCGACGTGGAGTGGTAAATTTTCATAATCAACATATTTGGTCGCATGAAAATCCGCATGCAGTTCGGGAAAGAAATTTCCAGCATGAATTTAGTGTGAACGTGTGGATTGGTATCTACCGTAATCGACTATTTGGACCCTACCTTTTGCCTGCAAGGTTACATGCTGCGACCCTCTTGGAATTTTTAAAGGCTGAACATGCAAATATATTTAAGAAGATTGGCCTGGTTCCAGCTTGATGGTTGTCCAGCTCATTATTCGAGAATAGCTAGAAACTGGCTGGACGAAAAATATCCAGAAAGATGGATCGGCCGTGGAGGACCAGTCGCCTGGCCTCCACGATCCCCTGACCTAAATCCATTAGATTTCTTTGTGTGGGGATTTCTAAAAGAACAAGTGTACCGACTCCCGTAACCACAAGAGATATGCTAATAGACAGAATCAGGAATGCATATGACGAAATAAGGCCTTATTTGATTAATGCTATACCACGTTCGATCATTCGTAGATGTGAATTGTGTATTGAACAATTGGGTTTACATTTCGAGCAACTACTTTAGATTTTGTATGTTTGTCCTAACTATCCAATAGCATTTTAGTTGTAAATAATTAATTCAATTTGTTAAAAATAATATTGAAAAATTAAACAAATTAATATTCTGTTTTTTTGTGTTTATTTGGAGTTAGGAATTATTGCTGTGTTTAAAAACACAATCTAAACGGATCATCTTAATTACTTGTAATGCGCAAATCGAAAATGTAAAAAAATATTATTTTCCCATAAATAATTAAAAATGCATCGAACCTTAAAAATCGAAATATTATTCGAAATATTTAAAAAAAACTATTTTAGAAAGTAAATTTAAACACCCTGTATTTCGGAAGCCACGCATTTTTCGACCCATGTTTATATAGACTTTATGCATAAATTTTAAAAGTTCTATCGAATCTCAAAGTTATGCAACAATAAACTGAAACACCCTGTATATGTATTACATAATGATAATAAATGCTGCTGCTATTACCGCGGCGAGACGTGCAGTTAATGTCTGACAGTTTTAGTGTGTATCTCCTTTCTGGAGAATATCACGCTTCGGGCAGGAAAGACCGACAGGATAATAGTGTCGAGCTTCTCTGCCCGAGAGTGACGACAAATCCTTCCTCAAAAAGGACTTTGCTTCCTGTCTTTGATTAAGCGAATCACTCAAATTTGCGATCATGCAGATACGTAACTAGTGCTTAACCGTATCCTGCCATTTACACGTCCGATGATATCCCAGCTATGTAAGACCTGTTATAACATACTGTATGGCTGTTATTTTGGATGGTATACTATTTCCAGGAAACTGGAGAGCCCTTATGATTATGTATGGCAAAATGGATGTTATTATTGTAGAAATATACTTATATTACATCGAGATAAAAAAATTAATTATGTCATTTGTCAACTGTGTAAGCAGCTAAAATGTCATTATTTAACCGAATTCAGCAAAATAACCTTCGTTCTTCTTGATAGAGTTATCCTTAACGTTCTTGGCGTGTCAAAGAAGGACTACCACTACTGCGGCCCATGCTTAATGCTGAAATCGCTAATGTCTCAAATTACAGTTTTACAGCAGAAGTTTTTTATTTACATGTTTATTACTAGATACATAATTCGATCAATTACAACATTTGCAAGAAATGATATTTCACTCTCAAAAAGATTTGGTTCACAACCTTTGTTGAGGGAAAGAGTAAGGACTGTACTGGACCATCTATTGTATGTACCAGACATTTACGTCAGAACTATGTCCTACCACTTCAGAAAAAATGTTCTAATGACAAACCAGCGTATGCCGCTTAATCTTTTGGGTCTGGATGCTTAAAAAATCCAAGCAAGATCTACTAAAACTTGTTGATACCATTGATTAATGTATCAAACTTAGATTGATAACACTGATCAACAGCCAAAAAATATCCTAAATAAAATCAACAAAATATTACTATTTTTAATGTGCTAAAACCGGAATGAAACTTATTTTTTCAATATTAGTTCAAGTTTTAGAGATACGGTAATTATACATATATATGTGTTCCTGCTGTGACAGTGTTAATATATTGTAATTCACAAGAATGCACGTGCTACATTTTTATATTCGGCAAGGAAAGATGATGTAATCGGCATGATTGTGTTACGTTATACATACGTGTACATTATATTGTTCTATATTAGCCATTTTTTCCTCAGTTGGCTGACAGCGTTCATGCAAGATGTCTCGAAAGTGTGTAAACAATCCAGATCAATTTTGTTACGTGTGTGGTGATGTGACTTTTGCATCTCAGAGACGGTCTATTACTCCATTAATAACAAAGGCATATCAGCTTTATTTCAGTTGTAAACTAGGTGATCAAGACAAACAGTGGGCACCCCACATCTGCTGTAATACATGTGCTTCAAGTCTGAGGAGCTGGTTAAATGGCAAAAAACGGTCTATGCGCTTTGCTGTCCCAATGGTTTAGAGAGAGCCTACAAATCATATTAATGATTGTTACTTTTGCATGGTACCTTGTGTTGGACAAGCCACAGGTATGTCCAGGAAAAAAAATCGGTTATTAACTACCCAAACATACCATCTGCGATGAGACCTGTGCCTCACAGTGATGAAAATCCTATTCCAAAACCCCCAGGATCCTACACTTTGCGAATCAGAAAACGAATCAGATCATGGCGATCGAGTGATTCGTCAGGAAGAAGATATGCTACCAACGTCAAGAGATACTGATTTTATACCGAGTACGTCATGCCACCAACCGCACAAAATAACACAGTCAGAATTAAATGATCTTGTAAGAGATTTAGAACTTCCAAAATGTAAGGCAGAGTTACTTGGATCAAGACTGCAGCAGTGGAACTTGTTAGAAGACGATGTTTCGGTATGTGTTTTTCGTAAACGCCACAAGACTTAGAACCATTTTTCAATATGGAGAATAACTTGGTTTTCTGCAGTAACATTAACGGCTTACTGGCGGCTTTAAATATAAACTATAACCCAGAAGATTGTTTATAGACAGTTCAACATTGAGTTTAAAGGCAGTGTTATTGCATATTGGAAATATTTTACCATCTATTCCTGTAGGGTATGCAGTTCACATGAAAGAATCATATGACAATATGAAGTACCTATTGACCTGCATAAAATACGATGAGCACCAATGGCATATTTGTGGCGATTTGAAAGTTGTTGCACTTTTACTTGGGCTGCAGCTAGGCTACACAAAGTTTTGCTGTTTTTTGTGTGAATGGGACAGTCGGGCAAAGGCACTTCATTACACCAGACAAAACTGGCCTGTTCGTCAATTCCTAGAGCCAGGTCAAAAAAATGTACAGCATATGCCTTTAGTAGATTCGAAAAAAATTTTATTACCACCACTGCATATCAAGTTGGGCCTAATGAAAAACTTTGTCAAGGCATTAGATAGAGATGGGTCAGCTTTTCAATACCTGCGTCAGAAATTTCCAAGACTAAGTGAGGCAAAGGTTAAAGAAGGTATTTTTGTTGGGCCACAGATTCGAAATATTTTGAAAGATACACAGTGTGAAAACACTTTAACAGGTATTGAAAAAACTGCTTGGAATGATTTCCGTCTGGTGGTCACTAATTTCTTGGGAAATAGAAAAGCTGACAACTATAAAACCCTTGTCAAAAATATGCTGTCATCATATCAAAAGATGGGCTGTAATATGTCTCTTAATATTCATTTCCTACACTCACACCTGGACTTTTTTCCTGACAATTGCGGAGCCGTAAGTGATGAGCACGGCGAACGGTTTCATCAGGATATTTCAACAATGGAAAAAAGGTACCAGGGAAAGTGGAATTCTTCCATTCTTGCAGACTACTGTTGGACTCTTGATAGAGATGCTCCAGAAACGATCCATAAAAGAACAGCAAAAAGACAGCGCATATAGTGATTCTTATAGGTATATGAATCTTGTTACTTTTTTTAATATATCCTTAAAAATAAAAAGTTGTTTTTCTAAACCGCAACTAATTTTTTTATTTCATTGTCATTTTTGGATTCAGCGCCCCAAAATTAACAAAGAAGTGCACTTTTCTCACAAGATACAATTGAAAAACTAAAATTTGTTGTCCAGTGAATCAATGTTAATACGTGACTTTGTTTTTGTATACTGTACGTTATGCTGATTGATGTTCTTTTCTTTTACAAAGTATTATTTTTAAGGTACCTAAAGTTTTGGCGACATCTTCACTGTTTTATTGCTGGGTATTTTATTGATTGTGTACATTAGGGCTATCCTATTTTCAACTGAATAAATCGTCTGAAAAACGAGAAATCGCCGAAAATGAACTAGAGCTTGTTTTGCATTGAAGCGACGATTTTTTTTATAGGGGCCAATTTAGTTTTTGAGTCATATTTACCAGAAGGTATGCCGTTTTGGGTATTATTTGCTTGGCAGCATATTCCAGCCGTGGCATTGGTGTCACTTGAGGTGGCTATGGATTTCCTGATTTGCTCTATCCTGTCTCTAACCGCTATGCAGTATAGACTGCTCAGGTAAAGTATCTAAACATAAATAAATAAAGTAAGCTTCTATGAACGTAATACTCACAGCTTATAATCATGCAGTGCATGCTTCAGCATCATGTTATCGCAAAGACAAATACAGAAATGCAATCTCTACAGATTCTGCATTTGCATTGTTTATGGATTTGACCACACTCACAAAACAAACAACATGGTTTCCTTTAGAGTTCATAAACCTGTGTCGTACGATAATAGTTCAGAATGGGTCTTCGCGTTTCAGGAGATATTTTTCGGGACGATGGACGAGGGTGACGTATCTTGTACATTAAAACAATAACAGACAGCCTTATGCTCGCTTGTTACTTGTGAAGGCTGGACGTCCTTTTGCGAACAGGAATACCTACCCCAGGCGGTCATGGGTTTTGCTGGATTTGCGCTTGAAATTGCAATGATGTGACACACTGTATACTCGTAGGAACGTATAACTGAAAGAAAAAACAAACAAAGTGTCAATTGGAAGACAGATAAACAAAATATATTGTCAAAAGTGTCAATTTTACCTGAAATACAGATATAGTTGTAGTCACCGTTCTTGGCGGGTCAAAGTAAGACTACCAGTATCCCTTTATATATCTCCATCGCCCTCATACAAACACAGACAAACTACCCCTGTGTGTGAAAATTTGTTCGGTAAGCTCAAAGTCACGCGTTCTTTAGTTGTGTGTCTCCGTGTCGAAAACTTTGTCGTTACCTATGAGTGACCTTCAATCATATTTGCCAGAGTGACAACTTACTTGACATCGGCATTTGAGTTGACCTGTTATCGATCTTCAATATAAAATTGTACCATACCCGGAAATACGATCGATGGAGAAGGCCGACAGCTCGTGGTAAATTTATTAGAGTATTTTCAGGAAGAGAATGGAAACAGCGGTCCCCCGTTACCCACTTCGTGCGTACTGGAGAGAGTAGCATATACGCTTAAGATTAGTCTGAGCAGTGTACAGCGAATAAGAATCAGAAAATAAAAGTTTGCCCATAGTAATCGCTGGGGAAACACACAAAATCAAAAAATGCAAGATCGATGATGTAAGTGATGCCATCAAAACAGAAATTATTAATACTTTCTAGGATATGAGTAAGTAAATGACAACATATCACGACCCCTGCGTTCAATCAGGAGCTTTAAAAAAGGTTCATATACAACGCCTCGGATTCAAGCTTAAGGCGTCTATTGAAAGCTTGCGGTTTTTCCTACAACACAGAAAATTACCGCCGACTCGTGTGTAAAAAATCATACATTGTTTACAAACGTATCTAATAGTTTATGAGGCATTATATCAATGACCTGAATAGTACAAGCCCTCTCCAATACATTTTATTAGATGAAACGTGGGTATTTGCCAAAGGGTTGTTTAAACGAGTTCGGCAAGATAAGAACGTATAGTTTGAAAAGCGGCCATCAGGGTACCAGCAAGCGGTGCATTGTGCTTCATGCTGGGACCGTAGGCGGTTTTCGAGAATCTGCTTTGTTATTTGTTACAAAATAGAAAAATGCTGACTTCTGTGATTCCATGAACAAAGATTTTTTAAAAAAAATGCGTATTTGAGAAGCTGGTACCAGCATTTCAAGAGTAAACTTTAGTAATCATGGATAATGCCTCTTATCATAGTGCCTTAAGAGAAAAGATGCCCATATCCAGTTGGAGTAAGATGCAATTGAAGCAATGGCTGCAAGACAAAAAGATACATTTTGAAGATGGCGCCTTTACACTCGAGCTTTTAAATCTATCTATGTCTTTTTTTATATCGAATCAGCCGCGCAGGCAGAATCCTAAATGCCGGAACACCGCTGCTGCTATGATGATCCCAAAGAAATTTTGTTAATACGATTTTTGAACTGCCTAAGGTTAGTAGAACTGGGAAAAGCTTCCTCTTGTAGATTGTTCCACAGTCTCGACACCCTCGAGACAAAGGATCGGTCGTATCACACATTTCTGGATGTACGAAGCTCGACACGGGTAGGATGGGACGCCAAAGTCAGGGGGGTCTGTCTGGCAGGCACATCGCGCGGCGGCATCATGGAACAGAGCTCTGAGAAGCAAAGCTCGTTGGTGTAGCGGTAGAAAAGAGCTAGACCGCCGACAGCCCGCCGGTACGAAAGAGTTCCGAGACTGTTAGAGAAGAGTCATCAATCACTCGGACCACCCTCCTCTGGACAGCATCGAGCATGGATAATGTAGTCGGGGTGGCAGCACCCCAAACGTGTGAGCAATACTCTAGGCTAGGCCTTACCTGGGCCTTGTATAGAGTGAGAAGGCCATGCGGATAAAAGTACTTCTTAGCCTTGAACAAATAGCCTAGCTTTTTCCCAGCAGCTGCAGCTATTGACGAGATGTGTTCGTGCCAGATCAGGTCCTCGGTGATCTGGATTCCGACCAGCCGAAATCAATGGCTCTTTGGCAGATCTTGGCCATCCATCGAAACCGGATGAGCGCTAGGAAGCTTTTTGTTCGTCAAAGTACAGTACTGTGTTTTGGAAGCATTGAAATGTTCAAGACTGTTGTGTCCCCAAGCAGTGACCGCCTCCAGATCTCTTGACAGAGAGGATGTCTTCACTAGCCCTCCTTTTTTGAGCTCAGCGGTAGAGATCGGCTTGTCACTCTGAATTTCTGCATGTAGAATGCTGTCATCAGCGACGCTGTGGATTGGGTTGATCGTGCAGGAAAGAAGGTTGTTGACATGTAAGAGAAACAGTGTCGGATCCAAGACCGATCCTTGGAGAACACCCGCGTTGACGTTGTGGGATGAAGAGGAGGACCCGTCAATTACGACGTATATCTTGCGGCCAGAGATAAAGTCAGCCATCCATCTGCAAAGCTTTTCTGGGAGGCCATAGGATGGAAGTTTGCTCAAGAGGGCAGCGTGCCACATTTGATCGAACGCTTTCGTGATGTCAAAAGCGATGGCATGGGCCTTAACATAAGACACCGTGGTCTGAGTTACCCAGGGGGGACAGGACAGCAGTGCTGTAAGGGACAGGATGCGTGGTCAGAAAGGGATCCAGCAGACTACTGGCATGTGACGAGATGCGGGGAAAAAAGTAGGGCTCGTCATCAGCTGGGTCAGTCCTTGAGTAAGAGCGAACGCTTCGACTGCACGACCTGCTGCATCGGTCTTGTTTGAGCCCAACCAAAGCTCATTATGGGCTTTGAAATCACCGAGAACAACTACCTCTGAACCGAGGTGATTGATGTTCAGGTAGTCGATCTTGACGGTGAGGTATTCCAGCAGGTCATCCCAGTTATGGTCCAAGGGAGAGCGATAAAGCCAGCAAATAGAGTTTGGTTATGTTTTGGAGTTGAGGCGAAGCCACAGAATGTCCTTCCAGTTTGATTCCAAAGCAGGAAGACTGCTTGCAGACAAAAGCCACAACTCCCCCGTTCTTTCTCAGATTGGAGTGCACGTCGTAGTTTGGGAAGTTAAGATGGTTAATCTGTGCAGACTCTGAGATTTTTGTCTCCACCAAGAAAAGCATGGCGGGACGATTGGATTACAGATAGTGATGAACAGCATCAATGTTGCTGTTAATCCCGCAGATGTTTGTAAAACAAATTTTATCTTCGATGTTGTCCCCTCGAGCCCACCCTCCACCCGGACCTTCCGAGAGTGGAGTGGGCTTACGTCCGGAATTCTTAGTGCTCGAGGGAGCCATCATCATTAATTTCTTTGTTTTGGAAGATAACCGACTACATAGCTTAGGTGTGGAAACATGCGGACATTTATAAGGCACATTGGGAAAGGCTAGCGGGTGGTACCGCCTCAGTCGACTAGTCCTTGTCTACCGCCTTGGTGTTAGTGATATTAAATAGATCTAAAGTGGCCCGTTGGCGGACTTGTACCGCCACCCGTCAATCGGTACTGAGGTATTCCTTAACGCGTGTACAATCACTTGAACGGGAAGAAGTTGTATACTGGATACAACAACTTCCGAAACAAGCATTTGCCACGGCCCCGCTCAGTAGGGCCATACAGTGTGTCACCTTAATAAAACAATAAACCATCGGCTCCAAGACATATCATAGGCGAAATATTACATGAACATGCACTTGAAGTTTTGCGGTTCCCCCTTACCATTGTTAATACAACCCTATTGAGTTAATCTGGGGAATAGCCAAACAGTACTATGATCGTCATATTGGGGAAAGTGGTTATGATTACAAGGAAGTTTAGAAAGTTTGGGACGATGTTCTAGCGAAGGTGACTCCTACAGTTATGTCCAAGTGTGTGAAACATACCGAGGACTTGATTAAAAACGACTGGGGCAAGCATCAAGTGTTTAATAGGGAGGCGACTAATATGATCATTCACTTGGGAGAAAGTTTAGATGACTCCGATGAAGAAATCCAATAGTTTAGACATTTATTGAAACAATTTTGAAAATTTATAATTCTTAATTTTCTGTGAGCACACTAATGTAGTTTGTTAAATATACTAAGTGACATATAAATCCGAACACCCAGTTTAAATGATTTTATTTTAATAAAATTTTGTATAAGTACTTAATGAAGCATAATAAGTAAATGATAAAAATTTCAAAATGATTGCACTGCTTTAAAGCCCTTTGACCTTCAATAATGTGTGGATGCACCCTGATGTGCTACGCATTCTCCAACGCGCCTAGGCATGCTTCTGATCAGGTGGTCAATGTCCTCCTGTGGTATCTCATTCCAGGCAACCACCAACTCTTCTCGAAGTGCTTCTAGAGTCTGAGGAGGACGTTGAAAATTGAGCAATCTCCTACCCATCATATCCCACACGTGCTCAACTGGGGATAAGTCGGAAGATCTTGGTGGCCATGGTAACAATGTGACATCATTACGTTGAAAGAAGTCTGTTGTGACTTTTGCAACATGTGGTCGGGCATTATCTTGTTGGAAAGTTGGATCTGCCAGGGTGTCAAGATAGGGTAAAAGATGGGGTTCTAGAACTTCGTGGATATAACGCTGCGCGTTCATGTTACGTCTGATGAAGATTAAAGGTGACCTGGAACCATAAGCTATAGCACCCCAAACCATAACTCCAACAGTGTGATGAACATGTCTTTCAACAAAAAACTGTGGGTTCCTCCTTTCACCACGTCGCCTTCTAACCCTGGCACGACCATCGTGCATGCCTAAACAAAATCGAGACTCGTCACTAAAGACAATACTGTTCCATTCGTGATCCCAGAGTGACCGTTGTCTGCACCACTTAAGGCGATTACGTCGGTGTTCTCGAGTTAAAGGGAGGACCCAGTGTGCCCGGTATGAAAACAAGCCAAAACTTCTCATTCGTCGGTAAACACTTCGCATGCCAATAGGTCTTCCGTGTTCTGCAAACCATTCATTTGCAATGGACTTGGTAGTGGAGAACCGGTCCCTTAAGGCCAATAATCTTAGGCGGCGATCTTCACGGTCTGTTGTTCTACGGCGGCGTCCAGTGCCCCTTGCTCTTTGCGTACGGCCTTCTCGAAGCCATGCCTGACAACACCTAACCACAGTGTCGACACTTCTTTGCACTCTAACTGCAATTGCCCGAAAAGAAAGTCCAGCTTCCCGAAGTCCCACTATACGGCCCCTATCAAACTCACTAAGTTGACGAAATCGTACAGGTCTCCGTACTCTAGGCATCGTAACCGATCGTAAAGGATGTCAAGAACCAAAATCCGCCAGCGTTGATTCTTTACTGCGGCTGAAATAATCATTTTTAGAGCATTAGTGAATTAAAAAAAAGCAGTATAAAAACCGGAATGTTCAATTGATAAGGCTGAACATTTTTTCACTTGTTATTTACAGTACGATAAATATATTCACCAACTTTTATTAAAATAAAACCATTTAAGCTGGGTGTTCGGATTTATATGTCACTTAGTATATTTTGATAGGTATGGAAGTTACGAGCTTGATGTTTATTAAGGCGACACAGATTTAAAAGCTCGAGTTTGAGAGCACCATCATCAAAATGTATTTTTTTTGTCAACATTTTTATTATTGAAGATGGTTCATCTTAAGCTCTCATAAGTTTGTCACATATCCACATTCAATATTAAATGTTCCATCAAGTTAGCAAATATATGTGTTATTTTGTACAATACTGTAAGTTCCGTATGTGTTTTTTATTTCAACTTTAAAAAACATTAAATGGCATGTCATACTCTACCCATCTTTATGTACTACCTTAGATTTTTGAGAATAACGGATAGTAAAGAGTCTTGAATCGGTTTCCCTTAGTTAGGAAAATTAAGATCCGCCCAAGGTACGGAGATTCGATCTGTTTACTTATTTGGTGACGAAACCGCCAAGAACGGTGGATCTCTCTCCCTCTCTCTCTCTCTGTTGCTCTTTTTGTCCACTTCTACCTATTTAACTTTACCCTTTGACAATATGGGCATTATGAAGAATTTGTTCGATAAATGGTCAACGGCAGTGGAAAAATAATCCGTGGAATTTTTGCATTTATTATTTTAGAACCTATGTTTTAATATTTTGTCAACATTCATCTTTTCATATTAGTACTTGGTTATTACATACATATTTGACCGCTCAAAGTTAGCAATGTTTGCATGTTTATAAAACATTCACAGATTACTGGACATTTAACTAAATATTTGGCCCTAACAATTCCTACTTTGAATATGTAACAAAGCACACTGAAATACTAAACATGTATGAAAATGTTGCAATAATACAAGACAAAAACAAAGCCATAAATTGTAATAAATGCATGCACAATTATAATTAGAGCTTTTATCGTGAGCGCACTGGTACAGTTTTAACATTTTTATCTGTGATTTGTGACTCAGTGTGTTTTATTACAGATTTGAAGTAGGAAGTGTTGCGGCCATGCAATCATATAAGAATTAATTTATGGATAAAAATAAATGCCAAAATGGCAAAACAAGTACAAGTATTAAAGTGAAAATAAAAATGTTGGTTGGAGCTAGAAATATATACCATATTCCGGAATATTTAAATGCAAAGATTTTGTAGACGCGATTAACTTGAGATTCATGTTATTTTTAAAGCCAAGGATCCTGAATCTCCAATATTAGAACATGACTTTCTTTTTTTAACAAAATACCCCACCATATCCCTAAATACCTGACCCAGTGTCAGTTGAACCATGAACGTTTTCCATCCCTCAGGTACGAACTGGAGCGTGTATTTGGTGATTATCCAGGCAAAAAGGAAGGCGAGGGTGTTATTACAACAAGGATCAGAAGGTGCAACGATCAACTTACATTCCTGTTAGGGTAAGGGTGGATATATCAAATCACTTTACAACTTCTCAGCTTATTCTCCAAAAAAGTCGGATTTTTCATATTAGTATCAGTAGCCTCAATAATTTATTTTTAATTTTTATATAACCTTAGAAATTTAACTAAAAAAACTACAAAAGGGATGCGTCCTTCTGCGTGGCTGTAAGCAATAAATTCTTCGTAACATCTCTTTTATCTAATGTAAAACTGTTTTTACATAATGTCAACATTTTTACAAGACTATTATTTTCAATATGACCAAGTGAATCTTACTATTTCATAATCTGAGAGAGCTGTTATACAGTCTTTTACTATCTACTATTTGTGGTTCGACCTTGGAACCATAAGCGACTGTAACATAATATCTTTCTCCGATGTGAGTAGGCAAATTTGGGTATTTTTGTTTCTTGTATTGCAGTAATAGTCCCTATATTCTACATTGCTTATATTATTATGTTGCTCTATTACTATGGTATTCAGAGAGTTTATGCAGACTAAAAACTTTCTTCCAAAATAATAGTTCACTAGAATATAACAATCGTTCATTGTATATATTTTTCATAACTAGTTTTTGTATAGTTCCTATCATATCCTATCATAGTTGAGTGTATTTTATACAGACTGTAACAAAAACTTGGAGCACATCAAATATCTGACGAATGACTCATCTATTTTTTTTTTCAAAATTGGTAGGTTTACGTTTGAAACTACGGCGGAACAGTTGACGATATCCGCGATGTTCTCAAATTTACAGTTTTTCAGAAACTGATAGCAACTTTTGTTCCTCTCATGGATATATTCCATATGCGCATTCTGCGAAAAGTTCTCAATACCTTTTATCAAACATACGTTGACGTTCACCTCACAGTTTTAGAAATAACAAAAAACGTAAGTTTTTCACCAAGCAGAGACCGGTATAAAAAGTAATCTCGTGTCATATCTGACACTGAAAAGACCGTTGAGCTTTGTAGGCAGAGCTAATAGAAATATGATTTATTTAACTAACACCAATAGAATAGAAATTCTAATATTGATTAAAATAGTGTATTTGATATTGTAAGAAAACAATAGAGACACATGAAACACAGAGGAAACGATGAAACCTAGTTGTTAACTTAAACTTCAAAATTACATAAAAATTGTATTAAATGTTTAAATTGTCATCCATATACCTCTTGGGAATGAGCTAGATATTGCGGAATGCGTTTAGAACATTTTGAAGATATCTGCTTTCCTCGATTTTTCTGCATTCATTTTCTAGTCGTTGTTTTAGTTCCTCCTAATCAAATCGTTTGATTTTGTATACCAGATCCTTGTGCTCCCACAAAAAATATTCGTGAACATTTCTATCGTAATGCGGTGATGCACCATCTTGTTGAAGTCATATTCTATCGTTGGGCACTCTATCATTTACTAAAAGGAAATATTGATATTTTTTATCGTTTGTGGACAACGTGAATCCTCAAAAGATGCAAACATCTTCCAGAGTTTAAATTTTCTTCCATGAGAAATGGACCGATTATCTTTTTATCTATGATGCCGGCCAAACATTAATTTTTTGTGGATATTGTGTATAATGTTCCCGTACCCAGTGAGGATTTTCCCTGGCCCAGTAGCGGCTGTTATGGCGATCAAAAGTTCCATTCAAAGAAAAACTTTTTTCATACAAAAATGTTCATTTCTATTACATGGTCTCACAGAGTCGGAAATGCCTGTCAAAAGTCATCATCTGAACCAAGGTGACTATGTGTAACAGTTGCCTTTTATTGCCGATGAATCATATTTTTTTTTTGTTGTTGTTGTCGCACAGGTTTAATTTGAAGTAATGCAGCAAGAACTTGAGAAGGAAGAAACAAAAGCCGATAATCTAATCTAATAATCTCCGTAGCATATTATTTTTATTCATAGCATATTATTAAGTCAATTTTATCGACAAAAATGACTAGAACGGCCCATTGGCCATTTCCCAAGATAGGGCTTGTTTTTAACAGTGTATCTAGATATATTTTTCTCACGTAATTCATAACCAAAATAAATAACACGCCGATATTTACCTATTATCATGTCTATTTGAAATAACAAACATAACACATGAATACCACGGAATAACTATAATTTTTAATTTGTACATATCCGTTGTTTTTCTTCTGTAGTCGTTTGGCTGCCTGTATATAGCAGTCAGCATCTTCCATGTCACTGAACAATTTGGGAACTGAAACCAAATATTTCTCAATCAATTAAACATAATCCATCCCGATCTATTTTATAATCCAAAAATTTCAGTTATTAAATTTAACGTACATCAATCGCACTCCATTTTGATCATCTTTAAAGTTTCTACCACTAAGTTTATAACTGTGTAGTCAATTTTCCATGCATTCAGGTAATTAATTGAAGAATTTACTCACCCTGATATGGACAATTTCTTCTTGTGTTGCCTAGTAATTTCCCTGGTTCGCCATGAGTAATAATTTTAGTATTCATCTCCACATATTTTCATAAATAACTCGGTTGCTTCCAACCCATGCTAAATGTTCCACCGTCAAGAAATCAATTCAATCTCGAAATTTTCGCCTCGGGGATTTGTTTACATCCTAACAACAATCCGGTTTGTCACTCCGGAGCTAAAAATAAATAAATAAATAAATAAATGTACATCTGTAAATTCATATCACCTTCTGAATTAAAAACTATTTGTGTTGCATGAATATTATTACTCACCTATTGAACTATGTATTTCTTTTATAGTCAGATGAATTTATTATTGTATTCTGAAATCTTCCAATGTCAAAGGCTGATGTCGCTGATGTCGAGGTACTATTCTGCGTACCGAACTACTTGCACACCTCGCTTGTTCCGCATAGTTGCCAATTTTAATTCAGAATTTCCTTATGTTTATTAATCAATCAAATTTATATGCAGATATGACAGTGTTGCCACATTTATTCACGATATTTCCTTGAATTTATATTACTAACCTTCTCATTTTGGGATTAGCCGACAACGTTTGGCTCTTAATGGTCAGGCGTACAACTATATTTGCAAATGTCAAGTCGAAAAAAAATTAATTTTAGAGGGGACTTCCTTCCACGATCGGAGGGCCATCTTGTTCTGTTCCGCTAGTGCGAGAAGACCTGAAATTTTCCTCCTTTTTTTTGCTTGGGGCATTTTCGTTGGATTAGGAAGAAAATTTCATAGATAATTTCCTGGGTCATTCCTGTTGTGAGTGCGTAGCATCTTTTTTTTTGTCTACCCTTGGACCCGAGAAATTCTACAATTTGTAGGATCTTATTGTCTTCAGCCGCACTTTTCGCCAGACGGAACCACGTGAAAAACCCTACCCGACATCATCTATGGTTTTGTATTTTGGGGGAATCTTCGCTACTGGAGATCCATTGACACGTTTTCTACCGGGGACCTCTTTCCGAACAGGGACCCTTTTTCCACCATAGGGATTCTTACGTCATCGGTTTTGAAGCCTTCCTCGTCCATTTTAAATTAGTTAGTCAATAAGCTTTCGCATTAAGGGAGATCTCCTAGTTTGGCTGGCTTAAATTTTTGTTGTTAGCCGTTAGTAGATGTAATAAAATGTATTGATATTAATTTTAACAATTATTTACCCACACAGAAAATCTATTGTTAGTATGTATTTTGTTTTTGTTTCTTGGGGTTTTGGGCTAAAGAGTGCCTTTCAACACCAAGGCGTCTTCCAGTTTTGGCGGATAAAAGCTGGTGGCGCCCCTAAAAAAAATACACCCCCTACTCTCCGGTGTATCTGAGCATAGGGCCTAATTTGCCAACGCTAAACCACGGCTTTAGCCTCAGTAACCCCCTAGTTTTTTTTAATCATCCATTGCCTCAATTGAGAGAAATAACTTTAACTTAAAATTAAAAAGTGATCCTCATTAAATAAAAAAGGCGTGGCATATGTAAGGGTGGAATTTTTCCGTCTCTAAAATGCGTTCCACAGACATGTGAGATGTATTGTAATCTTCACCAAGTGTCCTAGTAGAAAGGAGGTGTTTAACGCTATTCTCACTAGAATATTCAAAGCCTTATTTTCGTCAGTGGCTGTTTTGGGACTACCAGATAGTGGAACATCCTTTACATGTCCTGTTATTTCAGGTTTCCTCGAAAATTTTTCAACAGTTATTGGATTCCGGTTGGGACATTTGTCACGAAAATATCTCAAACTTCTTCAGAAATTCTACTCTCTCGGTTGCAGTTAAATGAATCATTCTCAATAACTCTACTAACCAGAGTCAATGGACCTTGGGATGTCAGAAATGACAGGAAATTACATTCGATACCGGTAATTGCTTATTTGAAAAAATAGCTTTTATTGTTTGAATATTGTTTGACGGAAAATAATTCGAAAACTATGAGGCCTACCTCAAAGAATGTTAGATAAAAAGTATTCAGAATTTATCCCAGAATACGAATATCGAATAAAATGTATAACATTCCATAAGAATGTTTCTCAATGACTATAGATTTGGCAGCATCGCGGATATCATCAACGTATCCGCCGTGGTTTCGGACCTAAACCTAGCAACTTTTGAAAAAAATTAGATGATTATTTCATTTGAAATTTGGTGCGTTCCAAACTTGTGTTACACACTGTATGTCGAGCCCCCAAATTTCATCCTATTTGTTTTCACTGGAGTAAGATATGTAATCAGTTGGTTTTTGGTAAGAAAATGTTTAAGGTAACGAAGGAATTTTTATTATGATATGCAGATATTACAGCATACTGTCTAAACACCAAGAGCTCAAATATATTATAATCCTGTTGTCATCCCTTTCAGTTTCAAACATACAATCAATGAAGTATTTTCATCCTTAATGTTGATATACATAGGAGTGGTCGTGCTAATTCTGTGCTTCGAGATATATCTACTTTTTCAAATGTGAGTTCACCACACCTTAAAGAAACATACTGTCAGTACTATCGCAATAAGGCAGCACAAAGTGACATCTATCACAAAATCGACAGTAGGATCACCACTGTGGCCGCTAGATGCCACCGATTCTGGTGCTATAGTAGATACGGTCTTGTCGCGATTAAGTAAAGACATAGACAGCTGTTTCGTACTTCTTTCAACTTATTAGTCATAGGTAAAAGAATGATCAGAAACTAAGCAGCTATCCTTCATCCAGGATATGATTGGTAGTTTGTAGTCGGACGAATGAAAGCCATATTGCTGGTTTGTTTAATGACCTTGCCTTACCTTCGTTTCAGGGACTCCATTGAACACATGATAAAGATCCTTCTGTATTCTGGATTTATGTTCTTTGAATTTTTTATATGCTTTTGCTATCCAGCTCAAGACTTAACTGCAGGTGTAAGTAAAAAAAATTCTTTTTCTCGGACAGTTCGTAGAGGTTTTTATATAGGGTGTTTCAGAAAATCCTAACAATGCAATGAGGTACGAAGTAGGTATAAAAGTAGCATGAATAATCACCGAGATACAGGGTGTTCAAGTTTTCATTTCTAAACGGAAAAAAGTCCAAGATATTGACTAAAAATTTTGTAGAAGTCCTAGAAGTCGACGTCAAGCCGAAACCGGGTGATAGGCAAAGTCATAACAGCTATCAGAAAAATATTTAAAAAAAATTGATGTATGTGTTTTGAAAATTATAGGTCTTTGAAAAAGATATAGAAATTTCACAACCTACGGCAGTCTGTCAACTCCTGTTACTACAAATATTAACTTTTTTTGGATTTTATTTTTTCAATGTAATGATGAATAATGCATCTTCAAACTGGTGTCTCAACCTTACTGCCAACTTTTCTCGTTCAGGAAAAATTGCCACTTATTTCCCAACCAAGTATTCCAAAGTAAAACTTTGCTCAACTTTAACTGGCTGTACTGGAAAAAAATGTACTACGAGAGTTTGGCAAGTCACCTTAAAAGTTGGCGCATTTAATAAGAATTCCAAAATGGTATAACACAACGAGTAATCTTCTAACACTTAGAAGATTACTCGTTAACTTATGCACAATTTTTATTTGAAGAGAAACTGATGAAAATTTTTCAAAATTTCCTAATTAAACAGCGATTATGAAAACGCACAAGGACCCTTAAGGATAACTGTTTGCACAACAGTGGTCGTCAAAATGCTGCTGCTTTACAGCAAATGCTCAAACTGTTTTCCTTCAGCCGCAATACACGCTCGACATCTTCATAAAAAAGATCGGGTTATTAAACGAGCGAATCCACGGTTATTAACAAACTCAGCTGCTTCCAATAGTCTTTGCCGTAGCTCAGCTACATTTTGAATCGGCTTGAAATACACTTTTTCTTTTACAGTTCCCCAGTAAAAAAATCTAAAGGATTCAAATCAGGTGATCAGGCTGGCCACAGTATTGTACCAGACCGCCTTATCCATCTGCCTGGAAAGTTTTGATCGAGATACTCTCTCACTGAGAGTGCATAGTGCGCTGGGCAGCCATCATGCTGAAACCACATGTCCCTGTAAATACTCAGTGGTACGTCCACCAATAAATTTTGTACATAATTTATCAAAAAATCCAAATAAACTTCAGCAGTCAATCTCTCTGGGAACTCAAATGGACCGATTATTTTAGCATTTAAAATTCCTGTCCAATGGTTTATCTTGAAGGGATGTTGAGATTTATCTTCTCTCATCAAATGTGGGTTTGCTCCGTGCCACTCGTGTAAATTATGCATGTTCATGTACCCATCTTTACCTTAAATGTGGTCTCATCTGACCACAAAATTTTTTCAAAGAACTGTGGATCTTTCCTGTGTCTTTCTAACATTGTGCGACAAAAAGCAACTCGGGGCTCATGGATTTTTTGAAAAATCATGTACAAAATTTATTGGTGGACGTGCCACTGAGTATTTACAGGGACATGTGGTTTCAGCATGATGGCTGCCTAGCGTACTATGCACTCTCAGTGAGAGAGTATCTCGATCAAAACTTTCCAGGCAGATGGATAGGGCGGTCTGGTACAATACCGTGGCCAGCCCGGTCACCAGATTTGAATCCGTTAGATTTTTTTTACTGGGGAATTGTAAAAGAAAAAGGGTATTTCAAGCCGATTCAAAAAGTAGCTGAGCTACGGCAAAGACTATTGGAAGCAGCTGAGTTTGTTAATAACCGTGGATTCGCTCGTTTAATAACCCGATCTTTTTTAAGAAGATGTCGAGCGTGTATTGCGGCTGAAGGAAAACAGTTTGAGCATTTGCTGTAAAGGTAAATCATCATCAGTAGCATTTTGACGCCCACTGTTGTGCAAACAGTTATCCTTAAGGGTCCTTGTGCGTTTCCATAATCGCTGTTTAATTAGGAAATTTTGAAAAATTTTCATCAGTTTTTCTTCAAATAAAAATTGTGCATAAGTTAACGAGTAATCTTCTAAGTGTTATACCATTTTGGAATCCTTATTAAATGCGCCAACTTTTAAGGTTACTTGCCAAACTCTCGTAGTACATTTTTTTCCAGTACAGCCAGTTAAAGTTGAGCAAAGTTTTACTTTGGAATACTTGGTTGGGAAATAAGTGGCAATTTTTCCTGAACGAGAAAAGTTGGCAGACACCAGTTTGGAGATGCATTATTCATCTTTACATTGTAAAAATAAAATCAAAAAAAAGTTAATATTTGTAGTAACAGGAGTTGACAGACTGCCGTAGGGTGTGAAATTTCTATATTTTTTTCAAAGACCTATAATTTTCAAAACACAAACATAAAATTTTTTTAAATATTTTTCTGATAGCTGTTATGACTTTGCCTATCACCCGGTTTCGGCTTGACGTCGACTTCTGGGACACCCTGTATGCAGAACCAACAGCATAGTCAATACATACAAGAATTTCCTGGCATAGAAATAGGTAAAATTTGGGGTTACAGGCTAATTTGCTCTCTACTTTCGCCACTGAGTTATGATGGCAAGTGTTTAGGTTAGGAATAATACATGTACAGGGAGGCCAATATACAGGGTGTTTCAGTTTATTGTTGCATAACTTTAAGATTCGATAGAACTTTTAAAATTAATGCATAAAGTCTATATAAACATGGGTCGAAAAATGCGTGGCTTCCAAAATACAGGGTGTTTAAATTTACTTTCTAAAATAGTTTTTTTTAAATATTTCGAACAACATTTGATGTATAACAGTGAAAATTGGTATACAAGGATTTTTTGGTACGACATAACGAACCATGGGCATAGTTTTACTGTAGCCGCTAGAGGGCGCTCTCTACTGTACCTGTAGTGTATTAAAATGACCGCAAAATTTTTTCTTAGTGCAATTTTTTTCTTTTTGAATAAAAAACTGATTCTTCGCACTTTTCAACATAAAAAAGATCTCTTGTGAATTTCCGTTATAGTTAGCCGTTTTTGAGATATTTCGATTTTTAAGGTTCCATGCATTTTTAATTATTTATGATAAAATAACGTTATAAAGTCGGTATCTCGATAATTTTTAGAAGTAGGCTGTGCCTGCAAATATTTTTGAAATTGAAAGCGGAATAAGGTTAAACGTCAATTAGTTGACACTTAGTTTTGTTGTCTGTTGAAACCTGAAACGTTTCTCTGCAATTGTGAATGCACGAAATTTAGTTTCTTTTACCTGTTTTTTTTGTAAGTTTTATAAAAATGCCATTTTTATTCTTCAATCAAGAGTTAGCGGATATTCATTTTGTGTATGGCTTTGTAAATGGAAACGCAGCAGAAGCAGCCAGAGAATACGCACGAAGATTTCCAAACAGACGACATCCAACTCGCTCAGTATTTGTAAGAGTGCATCGCCAAATAATTGAAAATGGTTTTGGAAATCTCCAAAGGGATCAAAACATAAATGTTCGTCAGCGCAGATTCATCCGTATGATTCTGAGTGAGTTTGATAGAGATTCGACCACAAGTGTTAGGAGAGTTTCTGGTGCCTTGGGAATTTCAGCATGTTCACCGTGTTCTTAGAAATGACCATAGACGTCCTTACCATTTGCAACCTGTGCAAGGACTACAGCCAGGGGACGGAGAACGAAGAATCACATTTTGTCAGTGGATTCTTGATAGAACTGATAATAATAGGGAGTTTTTAAGTAACGTTTTATGGACCGATGAGTCATGCTTCACTAGACATGGAGTGGAAAATTTTCATAATCAACATATTTTGTCGCATGAAAATCCGCATGCAGTTCGGGAAAGAAATTTTCAGCATGAATTTAGTGTGAACGTGTGGATTGGTATCTACCGTAATCGACTATTTGGACCCTACCTGCCTGCAAGGTTAAATGCTGCGACCTTCTTGGAATATTTAAAGGCTGAACATGCAAATATGTGGGATGATGTTATGTTAGATTTAAGAAGATTGGCCTGGTTCCAGCTTGATGGTTGTCCAGCTTATTATTCGAGAATAGTTAGAAACTGGCTGGATGAAAATTATCCAGAAAGATGGATCGGCCGTGGAGGACCAGTCGCCTGGCCTCCACGATCCCCTGACCTAAATCCATTAGATTTCTTTGTGTGGGGATTTCTAAAAGAAAAAGTGTACCAGACTCCCGTAACCACAAGAGATATGCTAATAGACAGAATCAGGAATGCATATGATGAAATAAGGCCTTATTTGAATAATGCTATACCACGTTCGATCATTCGTAGATGTGAATTGTGTATTGAACAATTGGGTTTACATTTCGAGCAACTACTTTAGATTTTGTATGTTTGTCCTAACTATCCAATAGCATTTCAGTTGTAAATAATTAATTTAATTGGTTAAAAATAATATTGGAAAATTAAACACATTAATATTGTTTTTTTCTGTTTATTTGGAGTTAGGAATTATTGCTGTGTTTAAAAACACAATCTAAACGACCATCTTAATTACTTGTAATGCCCAAATCGAAAATGTAAAAAAAATATTATTTTCCCATAAATAATTAAAAATGCATCGAACCTTAATAATCTAAATATCTCAAAAACGCCTAACTATAACGAAAACTCACAAGAGAGCTTTTTTATGTTGAAAGTGCGTAGAATCAGTTTTTTTTTATTCAAAAAGCAAAAAATTGCACTAAGAAAAAATTTTCGGTTTCTCTTTGTCGTACCAAAAAACCCTTGTATACCAATTTTCACTGTTATACATCAAATATTGTTCGAAATATTTAAAAAAAACTATTTTACAAAGTAAATTTAAACACCCTGTATTTCGGAAGCCACGCATTTTTCCACCCATGTTTATATAGACTTTATGCATTAATTTTAAAAGTTCTATCGAATCTTAAAGTTATGCAACAATAAACTGAAATACCCTGTATAACTGACTGATTTAAGTTGTGCGACATTGTCGATACACGCATTTCGGTAGGTGGCGCCGTAGTAGTTGTTTAAAGTACATGTGTCCAATTCATCATGGAGCGCTACACGAACCCACAACGCGTCCGTTTTACTTGAATAATGAGTCGATTGTTGCAACGATTCGGAAGCTACGACAAGATTTCTGTGGAGATAATGTGACAGTGAAAGTGTAGTGGAGCGCCCTGATACATCTACCAGACATCTTTCTTAAGAACTGGATATTCGCCGCACGTCATTATGCACTATTTTAGAAAAAGACTTGTATCTGCGGCCATACAAAATTCAGTTAACCCAAGAACTACAGCTTATTGAAAATGAAAGTCGCCAGCAATACAGTCATGCAGTATTGCAGCTTATTACCCAAAATAACCATTTTCACCGACAACTAATAATGATCAATGAAGCCCACCTCGATATAGACGGATTTCTTAATAATCTGAATTGTCATATCTGGGCATTAGAGAACCTTCCATCCATCAACGACCACTACATCCTCGTCGAGTCACAATTTGGTGAGGGGCTTGGTATGGAGATGTTATTCTACCTTATTTCTTTGAAGACACAGGTAATTCTCTTACTGTCACTGGCGAGCGCTACCGTGATATGGTGCAAAACTTTCTGGCTCTTCAAATCCAACAATTTAACATGCAAAACATGTGGTTCAAGCAGGACTGAGCAAATTGACACACAGCTCGGGAAACAATGAATCTTTTGCGAACAATATTTCCGGGGCTCTTAATTTCTCGATTTGGTGATGTCAACTGGGCACCATGGTCACGGCATTCAACTTCTCCTGACTTTCTTATGGGATCTTTGAAAAATAGGGTCTGTACCAACAAACCAAGTACTGCATAGCAGATGAAGAACAGCATTACGGAAGCGATTGAAAATATTCCTTCCAAAACCTACCAAAAAGTGGTGAAAATGTAATCAGGAGGGCTCAGCTTTGCTTCTAGAGGCGGACATTTGTCGATATTATTTTGCTCAAGATGAAAGAAATGGACGTACTTTATTTCATTTCACAACTATTCAAGATATAAATCAGTCAGTTACATATCGGCCACCCTGTATAACTAAATAGCTGAAAATTTTGTTTTATAGGCGGAGAAACTAGCCAATAGCATATACTTCAGCGACTGGTCTGAATATCCCAACCACCACAGAGAAATACTTTTGCTACTGGGAAAAAGTCAAATTAGAGTTGTTTTTACAGCTGGGGGACTTTTGGAAGTGGACCTAAAAACAGGAATGGCTGTAAGTCTACTATTAGTACCTCCAGGGTAGAACTGGACCAAATCGTTCCTTTTAGTGATTCGATTCCTTGGTTACCGATTTGTTCTACGTTAATGAGCCCAAAAAAGGAAAGGTACTGCAGTCGGATCCCAATACTTACGAAAGTTCACCCGGTTAATTTTTAAAGAACTATCTGAAAGGCAAATCTTTTCCAGGAGTTTATTGTTATCTTACTGTCGTTCGTATTTAATCTTATGTTTTTTTGCTTTTTCCTATTATGGCTTGACATTTATGATCTATCCCCGTTTCTGACGCCTCTGTTAAGATTCTGATATTGCTTTTGATTTTGATGACTCCAAGAGTAGAACGATCAATCAGTGCATTTTGCAGTTTAAGCCAATGAATTCAAATAGATTAGACGGCGTTAAGCTCAAATGTTTATTGTACATTGCTTGTCGCCAAAATTGTTTAGTTACTATTCGGCATTATTCGTCAGAGCGGTCCGGTGGACCTTTGCTCTTAGTTAAAAGTCTTGTCGGTCTGTTAGTCTGTCAGGTCTGGCTATCCAGATACCAAACATGTTTAAGGGGAAAAGGGAAAGACGGAAAGAAAGGAATGGAGAAATAGAGCAACGAAAAGAAGTAAATTATTTGAAATAGCTTAAGCATTATTGCTTTGACTACTCGAATTATTTTGTAACTCCAAAAAATAATTTTGATCGGTTTTGTATACTGAGATAATTTTTGCTGGTCTGAATTTACAATTTAATTTTGATCACAGAGCCAGGCGCGGCCTGGAATGTTTGCGATCTTGCTCGATTGTGTAGTCTCCTGAATCACGCAACAGAGTGTTGCTGTGCGATTCCGCTTGATTATAACGCCACTGCGTCTGTTGTTTTAGGTAATCCCTTAGATATGGGATATCAAGATCTCTGTGAATAGTCTCATTTGACACGTACCAAGGGGCGTTAGTAATTGTGCGTAGGGTTCTGTTTTGCAGGACTTGCAGTCTCTACATGTGCGTCTTGGCAAGAAAACTCCAAGCCGCGCATGCGTAGGTGATTGCTGGTCTTATGACCATTTTATACAACCGAATCTTGTTGATCAAACTTAATTGGAATTTTTGCACAATAAAGGATAAAGCTGCCGAAAGATAATTTGGAATTTTGTTTTCAAAATATCAGTATGTATCTGCCAGGTCAACCCCTTGTCAATGATGACTCCAAGATACCTGACAGATTGCTCCCATGGTATACGAGTTCCATTCACTGATATCTCTGAGGGGGCACCGCGACGTTTTTTAGTACAATAGATTGCCTGCGTTTTCGAAGTATTAATTTTGATCAACCACCGATCCGCCCACTCCAATACTTCCTCCACCGCACTCTGCAGCCTGTCGTGAACCAGGTTACCAGAACAAGACTGGGCTAGCAATGCAGTGTTGTCAGTTTCTATAAACATGTGTCCAAGAATGCAGTTTTCAAGAGACATGGTGATAAATTTAAGAAAACAATTATATTCTATTGTTATACTAAAAAAAAACTCCCTCGATTCCATTGGAATTAGGCAATATTATTTTTTGTATTAAGAGGCTAATTTCTCAGCCCTAAATAGATTAAAATTCTTAGGTCCAGTGGCGTCCCGGGGGGTACCTTGGCGAATAATATTGGCAAAAAAATGTAAGTCACTGCCTCTTTTGTAACTTTAATATTTGTCGTTTAATCAGGTATCTAAACTACAACATCTTTGTCTCTTGTATTTTTTGGTATCTCACTTTGTTTTCAAAAAAATAACCGTCACTGGACAAAATTGCTTTATTAATTTTTGCTAAAAAATTACAAGTATGTACTGCATTTCGGGACCCATGTTTATAGAAATTTTTTTCCATATTTTTTAACAAGGAATCACCCTTTGAAATATCTCCGTCTATTTTTTGTACACCCTGCATACGCTGATTCAACCATACAGAAAGAAGTGTTTCTGATTGGTCGGATGTGCTTCCTACGAGCGAATCTTGAACTTGGGATTAAGCGACAAAATAGATTTTTGTAGCTAAGTCAGTCAATTTTTAAAAAAATGGTTCTGGAGGCATACCATTCACAAATCGAACAATTTTTATTTTAACAAGGAGCATGAGTGCTGGTGACAATAAAAAATCCGAGTCGAAGACAGGATTTTTGCACCTGCACGAGTGTATTTTGTTGAAAAAATATTTCTTTGCATTGTGTTTTTGGAATTTTATCACAGGAAAAAATTAGATGCCCGAATAGTATTTGATAAGACTATTTGATGAGCAACAGATTATTCTGCATACACATAGCTTACAAAACATTCTACCTATTATAACTTCCAAAGCGACTCATTTTCACCACTTAAGCTGACTACCACTGTTTAAAAACAATATTACAAAATTTATTGACAATAAAATCAGAAAAATCGTTTAGCGTCGTCTTCTGGTGTCCCAGAAGACCATAAATACTTGTCATCAAAGGTATTGTAATTGACAGCTGTCAAGTTTTGCCCCGGGTAAGCTCAAGAAAACTGCTGACAGGTGCTGTCTTACCATTTTTCCATCTAGAAACCAAAATTCAAAATTGCTCGTTTGTGATTGGTGGAGATTAAGACGTGGAATAGTTGAAGGATCTCCCTGCAGACATTCGTCAGAAAATTTCTGACAAAAGAGCTGTAATTAAGCAAGCGAAGAGGTCTTGTCACCTAGATGACATTCACAGAGCAACGAATCTTGTTCATGAAGTGAGAAATGCTCTTCATGAATTCCGTAATGAGCAATGGAGCGACTTTCTGTCGGGGATGCTTGACTCAAGTATTCCTCTCTGGAAAGTTGCAAAGTCGCTCAGAAACGGAAAGCGAGAACAACTCCCACACATCCACGGTCCTAGGGGCATAGCCTGTAGGACAGAGGAAAAGGTCAAGGTTTTCGCTGATGGAATGGAAAGTCAGTTCTCTCCCAACTATGACCTTGATAATGACCTTGACGAGGAGCAATATATTGTAAGATCCGTCAGGAGAGACTTTAGGGCCAACGGCGTCAGTGGCAGCAGTGCCTCCCTTAGTTGTTTTTCCTCAGAGGAATCATCAGAAGATTCATCAATTGAAGAGCTGCACGGCACATCAGCGGAATCTCCTGATACTCCGCATTGCACACCAGCAGAGCTCCAAGGTCATATAAAAGACCTCAAGGTGCGTAAAGCACCTGGAGAGGATCGAATCACTAATAAGGCGCTGAAGCTACTTTCGCGGAAGTCCTTAACTTATCTCGTGGCAATAATCAATTCCATGCTAAGGACCCAGCACTTCCCAACGGCGTGGAAGACCGCTGATGTCATAATGATTCCAAAGAAGGTGGGTTCGATATTCCCCCAGGATTACCGCCCCATTAGTCTACTGTCAGCTCCTTCTAAGCTCGCTGAAAATGTGATTCTACGTCACCTTGAAAATTTCTCGGCAGACCACAATGTGATTCCTGACGTGCAATTTGGCTTTCGGTCTGAGCATTGTACGGAGCTACAGGCCATAAGGCTTGTTGAACGAGTAACCAGGGGGTTCACCCGTAACGAAAGTACTGGCATCTTACTACTGGATGTCTCAAAGGCATTTGACAAGGTGTGGCACAAGGGCCTTCTCTACAAATTGATCCATAAGGGCTTCCCCTTCTGGCTCCTGAAACTTTTGAAATCTTTGCTCGAGGGTAGGAAATTTCGGATCAAAATTAATAACGTTCTGTCGACAATAATAAAGCCGGTGTCCCTCAGGGTTCGGTTCTTGGACCAGTCCTATTCACTGTTTATTCATGATGTCCCTTGCCCCAGCAGGTGTGAAACCTATCTCTATGCTGACGACACTGCCCTGGTGGCCCAGTCGTGCTCTGGGGATCTATTTCACGACAGGCTGCAAGGTGCAGTGGACGAGGTATTGGAATGGGCGAATCGGTGGCTGATCAAAATTAATCATTCGAAAACGCAGGCAATCTATTGTACTAAAAAACGCAGCGGCGCCATGTCTGAGGTTTCAGTGAATGGAGCTCGGGTACCATGGGAAAGCTCTGCTAAGTATCTCGGTGTCACTCTTGACAAGGGGATAACCTGGCAGAAGCACACTGAAGCGTTAAAAACTAAATTCCAGATCTCGTTTCGGCAACATAGAACATCAAAATTAAGTTTGATCAACAAAGTTCGGCTATAGAAAATGGTTATTAGACCAGCGATCACTTACGCAAGTGCGGCTTGGTGTTTTCTCGCCAAAACGCATTTGCGTAGCCTGCAGGTTTTGCAGAACAGAACCTTGCGTACAATAACTAACGCCCCATGGTATGTTTCCAACGAGACCCTTCACAGAGACCTTGACATCCCTTATCTAAGGGACTACATCAAACAACAAGCGCAGCTACGTTACAGTCAAGCAGAATCGCATAACAACCCTTTGTTGCACGAGTCAGTAGACTACACAGTCGAGCAGGTTCGCAAGCACACAAGGCCGCGACTCGCACTGTGAACAAAATAAAATCGTGCGACTTTAGGTCCAACCAAAATTATAATTTTTCTTCAACAACCAATCCCCAAATTAATTTTAGGATTAATTTAAAATTGCCGAATACTAACTAGCAATGCCAAGACACCCCTCAAATTGATGCACTTCTTTTTTCTTTGCTCTCCCTCCTTCCTTCCTTCCTTTCTTCTTCCCTTATTTCTCCCTGACTTTGTTTGGTATCTGGGCAACCAGACCTGACAGACCTACTGACTTACAAGACTTCAACCAAGAGCAAAGGTCCTACGGACCACTCTGACAGACAATGACGAATAGTAGTAGTTAAAGGAATCGACTGAATGTTGGATTTTTGGTTAGTCGACTTTGATCCGCTGCTTTATCATAAAATTGTGCCTAAATCCTGATGAGCTTGATGACACTATTAGTTGGTGTTTTTTTTTGTGATAGACTTCTGCAATGCAGAAAATTAATTGTGCTTAAACTATAATACTTTTAGAATTTATTTTGTTTTCAGGCTCTCAAGAGTGTCTTTTCTTACAGCATGTTCTTACGTACAATGACCATGATAGACTAGTGAATATGAAAAAGCACCGTAGGCTAATAAATCATTTCAAATTGTGATTTGTCTCTTATTTGTGCCATACTCTACATTCTGCTAGGATTTGTTCCATGGGTTCCTATTTTTTGAAAATTAGGCTCAGTTGGCTATGACTAAGATCGCCAGTTATTTGTAAAGTTCCCTGTGTCATTCAATACACTGGATAAATCTTTGTACTTCGAATTGAATGGTAAATATGCCTGTCATGGTGTACATGTGAGTATACAAACATTAATGCTAAAAGAAAAACTAATAATATTAATTATTGTATACAATCAACAAAGCAGTAATCCCTTTTACAACGTATGTATCTCCGTTACAACTGTTCCACTAAATTATATAAATAAGTACTTTGTTATCTAATTATACGCCAACGCCTGCATTTTTTATGTAACCAGGATTTCGATAGTCACTTGCAAAGATAGCCCAAGACGTTTAGACGATCATGAAGTTAAAACTACTGGGAAGCTAAATCCGAGTAAATTTGTACCTCACCTGTACTGTTCTGAGACAACAGTCTAGACCAAAGTGACTGATTATATGGTGAGAGGAATGTCACACGATAAGTAGCAGTTAAAAGATTACAGGTGTACAATCTGAAAAACGCCTCCAAAATATTCTCATTCCTTGATAACTGTAATATACACAAATTCTCAAAACGAACAAATTTTGGGACATTTGATCTTTGACGATATCAGGTTAGGTACTTTATAAACTGGTCAATTGTAGCTCACATTTATATTTCCTGCAGAAGCTCCGACCTCCTAAAGAAATCAATTGGCTTGTTCTGAGAAATATATCAAAAATCAAAAGCATGCTCAATGCAATGAAGTAAGCTCAATAGAAGGTGCCTATGTAGGCACTGCCCCACAATTGAACACGAAAAATGAGAAATTTAATCAAGTATACTCTAAGAATTTCATTTAACAATAATCAATATACATTGTGACTTCGAAGTTGAGTGATTTATTTCAACAGTGAGTAGATCTGATCAAAAGAAATGTTTTTTTCCTTTAACATTTTTCTGGTAAAATTAAAGTAACAAAGTTATAGCCCTTTAGAAGTTTGAGTACCGCACTGTCTCAATAATAATATTATGTGCTTGTGTTTGGCAACAACGGATATAATCCGCCTTATCGGTTCATCGCATCGGAAACAAAAAAGCGAAAGAATTTGAAACGCTTATCACGATCTTTTTACTACAATTTTATTCAGTTGTATTCAGTCAATGTATCAGTCGGTAACGCGTGAGTGAATAGTGGTGTTTGTTGCGTGGCTCAAACGAAATAAAAAATGGCACATGTTTACGAAAATGCTGAACTTGTGGACAGGATTCTTATTTGCGGAGGGGGGAGTCTTTACAAAATGCTGCCGCGGCATCACGGATTTATGCGGATTGGTTTCCCAATCGAGTGCAACCAACCCCTCGTGCTTTTGTTAATGTAGTACAAAGGGCTCGTGAATCAGGTGACTTAAGAACTCATGGGGGAGGGCATGCCGGTGCTCCAAGACCGCACGATCAAATACAGGTCAGCACTGAAATACCTGTCGGGAGGATACTTTATAAAACAAGGTAACATTTTTTTTATTTTTTTTTATTTTTACACACCTATTTTGGTTTATCTTTCTTCTACAATCATAATCTGAAAATTAATGACTCAACTTCAAAGTCACCCTGTATAAATATCTATAAAAGAGTTAATTAAAATGATATTTTTCCTGTTGACATCAGGTTTTTTCTTCAGAGAAAGGGGTAGTTTCCCAATGAAATCGGCTACAAAACAACAAAACAACTACAGAGCTGGATGGTGGTTTTGAAGCCCCTGGATTTCTTTTTGTGGGGTATGCCGAACAAATTAATACTGTTGATCAGTTACAAGTATATAGATAATGCGTTTCATCAAATTCAAGCCACAACAAATTTTGCGGAAATACGTTTTTCTTCATTAAAGAGATTCCGCACCTGTATCCGTCAGAATGGTGGTCCTCTTGAACATTTATTGAAAAAAAGCTCCGATTATCTAATCTATTGTTTTATTTTTACAAAAGCAACGCACTCTAGGAAAAAGCACAAGAGTAACTATTTGTAGCAAATTAAAGGTGAAATTCAAAGAATTGCGCGTGTCGAAAAAAAAACAGTGGCGTACTATGTAAAAATAATGCCAGTTATCCTCTGTATCCCCTCCACTGGTGCACTTTAATTTTAAGTGAGGATTTTAGAATGTGCACAGTACTTAGGTAAATAGACATACTAAATTTTAGTTCATTCCAGTTGACGGTTTTGAAGATATTAAAAAAAACATGTTATTTATTTTTCATCTTCAACAACCCTTTTTTTTAATGAAGCCCTCAAGGAAAAAATGTTACATAGAATACCCCCTCAAATGCGGTTCTCTCTATGATGTTTCACTTTTGGTCACGACTTGTGAATCACCCTTTATACAAAATCTTATAAAAAATGTTTTGAATTCATCAAGAAGTGTAGTCGTCCTGTATTATTTTATGCTGTCTATACCTGAATAGTAATATGGCATTGGAAGCTGAGTGAAACAGATCGGTGTAATGAATATAATTGTTAAATTGTTGAACGCCAACCGGTATGTTTAATGATATAATGTATATCGCTTGTTTATAGCAACCAAGTTCATGTAGTAATAATTTACAGTACTAACATTCACTATGAATTTGTGCACATGTCGCTTATAAGTCGTCTCCTTTAATTAGGTTGAAGGATGTTGTTTTTTGAAGAATCTTTGGAAACTTATCTCACTGTCTACCGTGCATGATGTGTCTAAAAAGTTTGCTCGCAGAACATTCGTCATTTTCGAGAGTTGATAAAATATGTCTTCCGGTAAACATTTCGAAAACAGGTGACGCTTTTATTCTTCTACTTTTCATGGCTTGGTGTTTAAATCCCGAAAAATTAAAAAAATGGGACCATCATGTTTTCTTAATGTTACATGGCGTGTATATCACACACAGTTAGTCTGTACTGCTCCAGTTCCGATGAAATAATAATAATAATAATAATAATAATAATAATAATAATAATAATAATAATAATAATAATAATAGTCATAATAATAATAATAATAAAAATGATACATAATAATAAAAATAATAATAATTAATAATAATAGTAATAATACTAACAAACTGGACATCGTTATCAAAGATAATAAAAATAAGTTATGGACTATAATTGATGTTGCAGTGAAAGACAAAGAGGCTGAAAAGTTTTTAAGGTACCGAGATTTCACCATAGAGATAAACAGAATGTGGCAAATGCGTTCGCACATAGTACCAATTATAATAGGCTCCACAAGTGCCGTATCTAAGAATTACCTTAAGCCCTTACCAACCGCAAAATGTGGCCATATTCGGTACAGCCCACATTATTAGAAAGGTCATAACGTAACGAATAACTTAAAGGGTAAGGCATTTCCCCGGTTTGACGAAGAAAGTAAGAAAGCCACCGACAAACAAGAGCTGAAAAATTTAAAAGAAATATGAATAATAATAATAATGACTTTATTCTTCTACGGTTTTCCATCTACAGGATAATATAACAACCAAATTACATGCCTTTTGTGAGCTATTATGCGTTGAAAAAACAATATAATGTAATAACTGAAGGAACAATTATAATATATTATAATAATGATATCCTAAACAGAGATGCAGATAATTAGCTCAAAAACAAGAATTCAAAGTTAGTTCCATAACCTCTTTGCTGTTCTGATAAACTCATTCAGTGTACATAAAAATATATCACAATGACTGGAGACAGAGTTTCATTTATTACACATAACATAGACTGCAGCCTTAAATAACATATTAGTCTTAGCTCTGGGTAGCTTAAATGTCGCATTACGCCGATATGAGCAACTTGCCCCATCAGAACAATCAACATATCTATGAAGCAATTCATATGAAAACAACGCCGTCGTTAAGTGTCTTCTATGCTCTAAACTAGGTATTTCAAATCTGCAGTCATTATTGATTGCCCTTTCGGGATAAATGTCGTCAACTTTAAAGGCGAGAAATATAAGAAGTTTTCGCTGAACTCGTTCCACACAAATGTATACCTTATAATATGGATTCCATACAATGCTGGCATATTCTAGTTGCGATCTAGTGTAAGTACAGTAGATTAATACTGCTGATATTGTCAATTCCTTACCAAAAATCCAAGAATTGTTCAGCTACAGCTTTCTAAATATGTTTAGAGAAAAGTAACCTACAATCGGAAATAACACCTAAATAGCTAACCTCCGCATAGGTTTTTTCTCACAATACTATATTTAAAATCTATAAATTCCTTTTTTTCTTGTGAAACTCATGACCTTACACTTGTCTACATTTAGTGTTAATCCATAATTGTTACACCAGTTCTGAATCAGGTCAAGCCGGCTCTGATTGTGCGATATATTTTTAAATCATCCAGAAAACCAAGTTTCTCTATCGTTCAATAACTGTCCAATCATTTATGAAAATTATAAAAAGTAACGGTCCCAAGCTTGATCCCTGCGGAACTCCAGATATAGCTCCATAGGCTTCCGACTTAAGCCATATTATACGAGACAAATTGTTCATATCTGTTAAGAATGATATCATGAACTTCACAGCCTCATCAGAAAATCTATCTATCTATCAATTTTTCAACCAAAGCGCTATGAATTTTATCAAAAGCTTTAGCTTAATCTGTATATATCACATGTACCTGGCTGCTAATATCAAGAAATCCTGATATTTATTGAGTAACTATTATTAAACTAGTGATAATATATCTTTTGGCAGTGAATTCATACTGATTAATGCGGCTGTGCAAAATTAACTGAAATATTATTGCCAAACATAGAAGCAATTGATACAGGACTATAGTTAGTAATATTATGTTTGTCACCACTATTATACACAGGACAGAGTTTCTTTATTTTCCACATAATAGCCAGTACTAGACGGTCAGCTAAATCTGCCACGTAGATGAAACCTATATC